CCCGCCCCCCCCCCCCCGGTGAGACAGCTGTAAGTCTACGGAGTTACAACGTCAAAATCAAGGAGTCGATTCCCCTCGATGGACACAACAGACAGCCCCATGTGGCTTTGCTATTTAAAAAAATACACACGCACTCTTGTCGTTATATTGACAACTGGTGTATTACTATGTTTACCTAGCAAAATTGCTATGCTTATTGATCAATCATATATTACCTCCTTTTATTTATTTTGTTTTTTATGTAAGAAGTTGAACTGCTTTTTACGATTGTACGTCTTTCTTCCTTGTTCATTATGTACAGAAGATATGACGGGATGGTGATTTTACACCAGTTAATGATTTTTATAAATAACTTGTCGCCTTTGTTTTACTAGTACAAAAATTGTACTATATAAAGCAAAGTGTGTGTCCCGGAAAAAAATACACGGTCGTATATCTATCGTATCATACCTGTTCCTTATTTCTTGATCAATCAGCAAAGAAACAGGATGACATGAGGGGGTTTGGACCCCTCCCCATCTAAATTCATATTAATAGAATTCGTGAAAACAGTTTGTCTTTCTTTTCAGTACTGGTACCTTTATGTATTTTTATTGCACTTTTAATGTTTATTATGTTAAAAAAATAGAAGAACAATTTCCTATCCTTTGTTACAAACGAGTTTTTATTTCACCCGTCCAACGGACTGGTATTCCAGCTAGTACTCAATAATAAACTGTCGTCAAAAACTTCATGCTTCATCTGTAGGGGAATATCTTGGGGTTTCCAGGAAAAGTAATCAAATTTACAGATCCTTTTTTGTTTAATTCTAAAGTGTTTATTTGTCATCAAAGTAATATCCCCGTCTATAACGATAATTCAAAACTCTCCCATTTTTGTAGAGGGCGCAAAAAGAAACTTGATTCAGTTGGCGGTTGATCAAGTGACGAGGTACATTAGTAGAACTAGCGTGAAAGCAGACACGGTAAGGAAAAGCAAGAGATCAGCCATATTGGTTCTGTCGGAGTTCTTGAAACGTGTCAGAATTGCCTCCTATAATGTGAAATTAGAAAAAATAAAACATGATTCGTTTATGACAAAAAATCCCATATGGGTTTATATATAAGACAAGACGCTACAGGCATCTGCCAGTTCTTGGTCGTATTAAAATTAACTTGTCGATAATTGATTGACATCAGATGAGTTGTTTTCATTATTTGTAATATGTACACTGTTTAAATCTTATTCTCTACACCAAAACAGCATTAAGTATAACTTGGAATAAGTTATGTTACACAATACCCTTATAATGACAAAAATCAGGTTTCGATGCCCGTGGTGAATACATTACAGATAGCCCATTGTGTAGCTTTGTGTTTAAGAAGAAATGAACAAACACAAACAAATAAATATGTTACGTACAGAAACATCAAAATGGTAGTCCGACATATTGGTGCTAAAATCATTTGGTTTATTTAAATGTTATGTGGTGAGTTTGAGACATTTTGTTGGACATTTTACTGTCGATGTCTGTACATATGCGATTATTTTTCTCCAGCTAAAATTTCACGATTTACATTCCTCTGGTAATTAAAAATAAATGTTTCAAAAATTAAACGTAACTCTTTCCGCTTAGTGACGATAATTTCTTGCTAAAAGAGTAGCCCAAGAGTTGGCGGTGGGTGGTGATGACCAGCTGCCTTTCCTCTTGTCTTACACTGCTAAATTAGGGACGGCTAGCACAGATATCCCTCGGTAGCTTTGCGCGAAATTCAAAAAATAACAGAAAAGAATATTCATATCACACTAACATATTGTTACGACGGCGGAAGTCAAGTGACGCTGCTGGCGCATTAGCGCTGGTGGCGTGTGCGAGGAGTTTCTCGAATGATCGTGAATTTCCTTGTTTGTTCCAGGCACCCTCTTTTTTTAGTATATAAGCCCGGCAAATAAAACCAGCCAGACAGGGTAGAATTGCATAGGCAGATAGATTGAAGATAGAGACAATTTAGTCAAGCGAACAGTAGGCACCGTAAGTAAAGTATGTGAATAACTGTGATTTATAGCGTGTGTTATAAAAGTTGTTAAGTGTATTACAAAGTTCTATCGAGAAAGAATAAACTAGTTTTAATTAAGAAAGGATTTGTATCGCTGAAGTTCCTCGGGAATAATTTATACCGGAAATTAAGGTTAACTGGCACAAATTACATAGTTACACGTTGTACGGTTTAATGATGATTTTCTAATCGATGAAAACCATTTCTTGTTTGATTGTCTTTATGCATTTCCTGACATACTGATATGATTCCCCACACGCTATCGTGTATAGTGTTTTTGCCGGTAGCCGTAACAATGCGGTAAAAAACAATGATAGATAAAAGTAGGGGTAAAATTACAGATCGAAAAAATTACTAGAAATTAATATTCAAATGGTGTGTGTCTAGTTTATAAGATTAATAACAAGAAAAGTATTACCCCCCACAAAAATGTTTTTAGATATTAATAGTAGAGAAATGTACAGATCTGTTTTGTTAGCCCTCGTGTAGCTTTGCGCGAAATTCAAAAACAAACAAGCATCAAAAATAAAAATAATGAAAGTAATTTACAAAACAAAATTCATTGACTTCTAATTTTCGCGAAAAGCTACATTAGGAGCTCTCTGCACATAGCCGTCCCTAATTTGAAAAGGATACACTAAAGGGAAGAAAGCTTGTCAATAACGCCCACCGCCAACTCATGGGCTACTCTTATCACAAATAATAGTTGGATTTGATCGTCACTCTTATAGCTCAATGACAGCCCAAAGTGCGGCAATAGGATGCAAATCACGAGCCCACGAAGATATAATGAATTTTAATGTGAGAGTCTTTCTGTGCCGCAAGTATCTTTAGCTTGATGTATTAATGAAATTTTAATTTTCGAAATTTGACAGTCGCATTTTTGGCTCAGGGCAATAGATAAAACGCACAGTTTCTAAATTAGTCAAATTATACATTATTGTTATTTTTCACGCAGTTCAAGAAATGTAGATCTTTTTACTCTAACAAACATTTAAGTGTGTTAAGGCACAGGTTTTTTACAAGCTGCAAAAAAATACAAGGAAGAGTAAAATTTTTGACGCTTTACACCTCCTCCTTCAACGGTTTTTAACAGTGTTAAAATGTATTCAGTTGAATGTCCCCCACTCCGACTCCTCGGCAAGTTGGAGGATTATAATCCACTTTCAATCTGTTTTTGAGTTTCAATTTTTTTTATACAGATAAACAAATGTGCATAATTCTGTTAATGATACACGCGTGAAAAAACGTGACTTAGAACTATCAACATTCTGTGAATGAAACACGCGTGACAAAACGTGGTTTAGAGCTATCAACATTCTGTGAATGAAGCACGCGTGACAAAACGTGGCTTATAACTATCAACACTCTGTGAATGATGCACGCGTGACAAAACGTGGTTTATAACTATCAACACTCTGTGAATGATGCACGCATTACAAAACGTAGCCTAGAATTATCAAATGGCTTTCATTTCTATTGTGTAGGTCATCGACTTTTTCTAACTAACATGATATATAAAATAGGTACACCTGTTTCTTTGTATTCTAAATGTTGCAGACCTACTCTTTGTTTTACTTCAAACACATGAAGGATACATGAAATTATTTGGTAGTGCCACAAAAGTACAGTTGTTGTTATTTTCTTTGTAAATAAATATTGTTCAACTTAAGGTGTAAAAAGTAATTGTTTGTATTCACAAAAAAAAATTATTTGTATTAGGTAAATTATTTGGACTATCACCACGTTATTTTCTTTCAGTTTTTTAATGCACAAGCTTTCGGCTCAATTACCTAAGCCTTCTAGAAGTGCGAGACGTTTAATAAACAACAGGATCTAATTACTTAATACAAACTGATAATGTTTAACCTCTGAGTGGCATATTAACATACACCAGACTTTGTTTAAAGAACATCAGGCACTGTAACAGAAGCAGCATATATATGGTGGTTGGAACTTATCTCCATGGCCAAGGTAACAGAAACAGCATATATATGGTGGTTGGAATTTATCTCCATGGCCAAGGTAACAGAAGCAGCATGCACTAGATGTGGCAATTGGAACTTATTTCCAAGACCAAGGTGACAGAAGCAGCATGCACTAGATATGGCAATTGGAACTTATCTCCATGGCCAAGGTAACAGAAGCAGCATGCAGTGATTATAGAAGACGTAAGTTACCTCCTTGGCCAAGGTGACAGAAGCAGCATGCACTAGATATGGCAACTGGAACTTATCTCCATGGCCAAAGTAACAGAAGCAGCATACAATAGATATGGAAGTTGGAACTTATCTCCATGTCCAAGGTGACAGAAGCAGCATGCACTAGATATGGCAATTGGAACTTATCTCCATGGCCAAGGTAACAGAAGCAGCATGCAGTGATTATAGAAGATGTAAGTTACCTCCTTGGCCAAGGTAACAGAAGCAGCATGCACTAGATATGTCAACTGGAACTTATCTCCATGGCCAAAGTAACAGAAGCAGCATACAACAGATATGGAAGTTGGAACTTATCTCCATGTCCAAGGTGACAGAAAAAAACATAAAGTAATTATGTAATTTTAATGGATTGTAATATCTACTTGTCTAAATATTTGCTTAATGTCTGCATTTTCTTTAAATATTTGTTCAACTTAGAAGTATCCAACCAAAATGACATCGTATACCTGTCCCAACATTAACTGTAAAACATGCAGTGTCTGAAACATTGGGGTTTTATTATGGAGAAGAATGAAAACAGTAATGAGAAATATTATGTGGTATTTGCCTTTTAAGTTCCAAGAAAATACTTTGATGTAAATAGGATTCAAATAATGTAACCAATATAAAAGTAAACTCAGAATGGAGAGTCAAATACGTATAATATTAGCACAGAATCGAACACCACATACATTAGAAGTTAAGTTTTATTACTAATACTATACCATTAAAAATCTAAAACCAAATACCTACCCACCCTCCTTGTTGGACTAACCATGCTGCTCCATCTCCTTCTATGACTGTCCCAATTCCTCGTATTAACCCTAAAACAAACTCAGGGCGACCAAGGCGTATACAGTCTAAAGCCAGTGTTCCAGCAACAGAATACAATGCGACGATGCGACCCCAGGAAATTTCTGAGCGAATAATTTCGTCTGCTACTGCCTGAAATAAGTTGATTGTGGCCATTTCGTTTGGCAGTGACTTAAGACCAACACTACAAATGACGCTCTGAAACAACCGAGGGTTTTGCCGCTCCAAGAGCTGGGTCAACTGCCGTAGCTGGACACACACTTCGGCCATTATCGGATCTCCGCCGATTTGGCTGAGGCTCTTAAGTTGGTTTAGTTTAAGCTTTTTATGAACTGACCCAAAAGAGCGCAATTTGTATCTTAAAAACCGAACACAGAGGTTTTCAGCCTGAGAGATCACTTCCTCTTGGGACACCGCCGTCCGCCATCCAATCGTTTTGGACAAACGCCGTGTCACTTGACTAAGTCTTCGCCGGTTTCCAGTCGCATGCGCCACACGCGCCGTTTCTACTCCTGCCGCATAGCCTGAGAGTGACGGCCGAGGAAAAATTACCGAAAGGCTTTGTTTTCTTGATTCTAAAACCGTTGGTGGCTGTCCTGACCCATAACCATCGATAAATTCATTGGTCGGAAGTGACGACATGATAAGTAAGGAACCACTTCTCACTTTAAACAAACGTGTCCTGTGCAAGTGGGCGTACGATGTGTAATATAATTCAGGCTCCACCACCATGTATAGAAAGATATCACATGATGCTTGGAGTTCGAATGTTTCGCCAAACAGGTGCCCATATCGTCAACACGTGCATGCTGTGTTTTCTGCCTGATTGACTTGCTTCTCACGTTACTCTCATCACATAACAAATCAGATGAGAAATTCTGTGGTTTGATACTTGAAACCTTATACCATCATCGGGGCGTATGTCTGATATGATGTTTGTTACATGACACCTTCATACTATTAAACGTAATATATGTGCGCATGTGTGAGAGAGAAACTTTGAAGCAATAGTTTTGCAATGGATAATTTTCAAGATTACGTAGTGCCACCATGACGTATATAGCTTACTGACAAAAAAAAAAAAAAAAAAAGGAAGCACAATGCTCAAATTATTCTTCAACCAAATGAGCATCATGAATTGAAATATGGATTTTAGCAGCATCTTTTATTGCCCATATTTAAGGAACCAAATTTCATTGACAAAATACTGCTAGTTATAACGCTACCATAAAAGTAAGCATCCCTAATTTCAGAATAATATTGTTGCGTCAGCGAGATCACGTGACTAGTATCACGCCACCCGTTTTCTAGAACTATCCTGTTCCTTCGGGAGTGCTCTAGCATTTGCTAGATTGGGGGTGGCCTGGTATATATAAGATGGTCACGGCGTGACGTGACAATGTGTGTAGGTGATGAGTAATTGAATGTGTGCGGACAGAATATTGTTGCCCTCGTGAGACGTTTGTTATAGAGCGACTGTTGAAATTAAGTGTATCGTAAAGTTGTATTCGGAAAGAATAAACCAGTTTTATTAAGAAAGGACTTGTGTCGCTAAAGTTTCGTCGGAACGAATTTACGGGAAATCAATTAACAAACGGAGACGTAACACTACTTTTTTCACACTAACTTTGCTAGCTCTTGTATGGTTTTTCTTGATTTCTTTGCTCTCGCTGTATAAAAATAGGCACGAACTGTCACTCTAATTGTAAAACGTTTCAAGGGAACGTGTTTCTGAATTCACCCTAGTTTCCACCAAGGGGCGCCACTAATATGTTAGAAAATATATGCAAAATGGAGTCTAGGGTTTCAAGAGGACGAAGCTCCCCGGAAACTCTTGGATTTTATGATTTAATGATTTCGAAATTTATCGAAAAAAAATTTAGTGACTATCAATTTAAATACATTTCTTTCTGTATTAACCATAAACGCAGGATATATATAATACGAAAATTAAGATTTAGATATCTAAATACTTATCCCTAACCTAAACTACTTTAAAACAATGAGAACTTTTTCTTCTTCTGTTATTCAATCAATAACCGTCTTAGTAAATGCGGAAGACATTTACACCTTTGTTTCAGTCTTTCTACTGTGCCGTCCCACCAAACATGCTCGCCCTCTCAGCCGTGGGGGCGTTATATATATAATGTGACGGTCAATCCCACTATTCGTTGGTAAAAGAGTAGCCCAAGAGCTGGTGGTGGGTGGTGATGACTAGCTGCCTTCCCTCTAGTCTTACACTGCTAAATTAGGGACGACTAGCGCAGATAGCCCTCGTGTGGCTTTGCGCGGAATTCAAAAACAAACAAACAAACTTTCTACTGTGAGTCCGTTTTGGCGTACAAATACTTCCTACGCGTGTAAAGAATAATACTGACTTAAGTTACAACTTTTTGCTTTGAATGTTACTATAGCTATATCACAGTTTTCAATTAAATTTGATTTATTATTTTTATGTATTGTTTATAAGAATGGTCACGTGTTATTTAAAAGAAGAAAATCCCATTGTTTTCTTGCCAAAAATACATAAAGTAAATAACTTAAAAACTAAGGTAACATTTATTTGTTAGTTTGTTTTAGAGCAAAACTACATTGCACTACCTGCTGTGTCCAGGATCAGGATCTCTACCAGCCTACCCTCAAATTAAAATTATTTTAGGCAGGATTAAAGTAAATTAATCCATGAGACCTTGGGTGTGATCAAATACATCAATCGAAAGGGTTTGTCCTCCTGAGTTCAAAACTGTAATTAGATCTCAAATCAGTTAAGATATGACAGAGCTATGACCTAAAAGTTTGTACTTGAAAAACAAAAACAAAAAACTCAGAGCCGTTCAATGAACCGCTATGCCAAGACTAAAAAATCATAATTTTGGATGTGGAAGTTAAAACAACTTTTATTATGAATTAATTAAAGATACCTGAGTTACTGACATTGCTTCTAGGACTTAATTAAACAAAAACATTTTTTTTGTAATACACCTACAAGAAGATCGGTATACAGTAATGGCTGCGCGACATCTGCAACAACGTTTATTTGTTTGTTTTGTTGTTAAGCATCAAATTACACAATTGGCTATGACAGTGGTTCCCAACCTTTTCCCCACCAAGGACCCCTTTTATTATTATTTTTCCCCACGAACCCCATGTTTTTGAAAGATTCTGTCTACCCAACATACTTAGAGAGCCAGAAAAATTGTGACAGTAAAAGAACAATCTCAGCTTTTTACGTGTTATTATCCTGTGTCCTTCCATGCATTATTTAATTTAAAAAAATAGCCCACGAACCCCTAATATTACCTTCGCGGACCCCAGGTTGGGAACCACTGGACTATGACTACCATCCGGTTTTCAGCGAAATATGCCTTCAAGATTATCGCTGAGCCACTGAAAGGCTCTTAAACAAGATATGTCTCCAAGCCATTATTTGACAAAAGTCTGTACGTATGCGTGTGTTCGCTTATAACTGGAGAACCGCTAAACCGAATGTCACCAAACTGACATATGTCCTTAGGGACCCTCGGGTAGTGAAGAGACACTCCTATGTCTTCCCCTCGCGTTGGATGGATACGTCAAGTAGTTTAGGCTAGCTGACGGATCCATTTAATGTACGGGGACATTAAATGGATCTCTAGGGTTACATGGAGAAAAAGCCGAATGCCGACTCTCTATGCCAGGTTTGGTGACAATCGGTCTATCGGTTCGCCAATTGTAAACGAACACGAACGCAAACTTCTTGGATACTGGTTTAGATAATATATTGGTTCACAAGGGCAAATGATTATAATAGTCTAAACAAGATCTTGGTTCACAAGGGCAATTATTACAATGGTTTAGACAATATCTCGGTTCATAAGGGTGAACCATGATTCCTTTTCTTCTGTTTTCTATAACCTGACAAACAAACATGCTTGATATTAATCGAATTTGCAGAAAAGATAAATATGAAACTAATAACATGATTCTAATGATTGGATTCACTCACAACCATGGTACGTTGTTTAAAAATAATAATCAAAGTTTATGTACCTTTGAGAATGCTATTCAAAATGTGGCTCATGCTAATCTTAGAGCCAGTGTTTACGGAATGCGAAGTTCGTTTGGCACGTGGGCTGGGCGTGGCCTAGAGCTTAACGTGACCGAACAGTCCGAGGATTCAAGGTTCAAGGCTTGTTGCCTCGAAAAACGCGCTCCGCACTTTGGAGCCGTGGGTGCGTTACAAGAGTGACGACCAAATCACATAACTTGTAAAAACATTAAAGGAGGAGATAAACTAATTTGTCATTGCTACGTGGACTAGATGTTGAATCATTTTCACTGGATAATTTAAAAGAATCCGCCAAATAAAGAGCAGCATTGCAACACTGATGTCAGAAGTGATATTATTTTGGTGTAAAAAAACTTTGACTAAACCTAAAACTTACCACAAGAGCGCACAGCGAGATAGGAAACTCGCTAGATATGATAAAATTATGGAAAGGCAAAGAGATGGAACATTTAAAGAAGAACAAAAAGAAATAGACAGGAGAATAAAATAATAATTAAAAGGAGACCAGGAAAAGTGTTAAAGGAATTTAAGAGAGAAGTTAAAAGAAACGTACCATGTAAAGAAGAATAAATATCTAAAATAAATCTGATTGAATAAGTCATTGGGATGGACAGAAGAATTACAATAGCAGCTTTGAAGAAATACAGAAGGACACCAGCGAAGTACAGAGAAGCTATAATGTAATGACAAAATTAGCAAAGTGACGTAAAGAAAGGCCCCAATGAGGTGAAAATGGGCAACATTGAGGTAGAAAAGAATGTCAGTGGCAGAAGAAATCATCTGAAAAATAAATTAATAAATGCAAAGATTAAACCAACGACACATCTTTTTGTATCAGCTCTGGAATTTCAGCGTGTATCATAATTTGTTACAAAATACGGAACAGGAGAACTTATTTGATTTACACATATCACCAATACTGCTGTGCCATCTGTAAATGAAGGACCTTCTTGGACTACTCCAGCTATGACACTACCAAATCAAGTTCCAGAATTTAGCTCGCTAATTCAACATTGGCCAATTAAGAAACCAATGGACTATAATGGGAAGGTATTATGGGGGCATACCAGGTTCAGTTCAAAATAATTTCCAATTTGACAACATTAAGTAACCTTCCAGCTGAGAGCCATAAATATTTGGTAGCCGCCTTATTCATCAGGTTTAAATTGTCGTATCTGAAAGAAGTACACTGAGCAAGGTTCTGGAACAGGGTTCAGAAGAAAGAAAATACTGAACTTGTAGAAGAGTTGAAAAGGTTTGCCCAGTTACCTTACCCACATGCTCTTTTTGGAATGATGGATTTATTAGTGTGTGCCAAATTTATAGACACCGTAGCAGACAAAGATATAGGAATTAGGCTGAAGCAAAGTAGGTGTACATCTTTAAATGAAACTCTGCAGTTTACAATGGAACTAGAATCCATTAAAGTTGCAGATAAACAACTAATAAACCACCTCAAAGTTATAGGATTGTCAGATCAAGCAGTATTGAAACATCAACTCGCATTGTTGGTAGTATAGAAGAACTAAAAAGATTGATTAGACAACTAATTACACAGAATGGAGGAAATATAAACCACAAAACAGCAGCTGTTTCGAGTGTAACTGGAAACGACTTATTGCCAAGAATTGAAAAAAAAATATAAGGAATAAGAATTCTTCCCAGAGGAAACTAGAAAGAGAAAACTATTGTAATCGTGGGAAACATGGCTATTACAGCCGTGATTTTAAGGAATCAACAGGTGTTATTAAGTTAAATTGTCCACGAATCTACGGATTTATTGATAGAAAAACTTGCCATATGCTGATTGACACTGGTTATACAGAACTACTCGATCAAATTTGTTAGTGAAAGGCGAGAAATTGCCTTCAGAGTTGAAGAAAAAGAGGGATCATTGTGAACTGCAATTGGACATAAATGTCCAGGAAAAGGAAAGATAGATGCTACTTTTATTGCAGGAAACCTCTTTATGCCTCATGGTGTGTGTCAAAGGCGGACTAGCCACTGTGCCTTTGTGCCATGGCACATAGGCCCCCTCGAGCAACCATTATGAGCCCCCTCTCCTTCCTCCTCTTAAGAGAAAATCTTCAAAAAAATGCTGGTCCCAACTCATAATGAAATGGCACGGCCTCCAAAAAGGGCCCAGTCCGCCCCTGATGTGTGTGTGTGTAAATTTACTGATGAAGTGTGCATATTGTGGACTCACTTCATGCAGAGACATGAATGCAAAGTTAGGCAGGCTTCAAATAGCTTCACAGTCAATGATCAGAACTTTTCTGTGCACTATATGACAATTACTACACTGAAGATTGAACTTCCAGTGAAAACAGGGAGTGTGGCCAACATACCACCAACAAGTGAAATATCCATAGCAGGAGTTATCAGCAATAAATCGACATCTAACAAGAGTAGCATAGTGGATACAAATACACTACATGTCTCGAGGAATTGGTGGTTTGAAGAGTTCTCGTGGATATGAAGAATAAAGATGTCAGATGAATTTCTCCAGGGAAGGGTTTAAATCAGCCTTGTGATTATAACAAAAAGTCACTATGGTATTAATAATGATAGAACGGGATTTATCCAATGTGACAAAGTATGGTTGAACAGTCCTAGTCACAAGAGAGAGGAACAAACTCCAAATTTAAGTAAGTGTTTGGCAGATAGGCAATTCAAGTCAAATGCCATCCACTGTGATGATCTTTAGAAGTATATCAGTGAGAGAATGACCAATTGGAAAACTCCCAAGGTTTCTGTTGAAATTACTTCCAGAGAATCATCAGAGTGGATTCATAAGGATTTACTCGACCAGCTATCCAGGAAGAACTTCTCAAGTGAAAGGATGGCCAGTGACAACAAGGGACAAAATGCCATCCAGTCTATATACCATGAACCTCAGAAGAGGAAACCATAAAAAAGAATTAATAAATGGACAGATTAGTGTAACATTTTATTTATTTCTGTATTAGTATTGTTCAAGAAATTTTAAAATCCAGAAAAAGGGTAGTATTATAAGTTATGTTTTTGATGTTGTAACTTAGATGTTAGTAAGAGAGAGCTGCAGATTATTAAGGATAACGTTAAATTAGATCTAGAAACTTCTTAGGCTATGACGTCAGGTTTGGGAATATATTAGAGGGTACATAATAAATACGGGGTCAGCGAAGCATCAAGAATATAGTTGTAGGATATCTAAGAAATCAGAGTTGTTTGAAGCTGATAGAGTGAATCACTCAGTGTTTTTAGTGAAGTGTTTGAGTTACTTTGTATAGGAAAGTTGATATTTTCAAGTGAGTGTTGTACATTTAATGTTTAAGTTTGTAGAAGCCTTAAAAGAAGAAATAAACTAATTTTTCATCGTTATGTGGACTAGACATTGAATTGTTTTCACCAGATAATTTAAGAGAGCCCGCTTATGAAATAATAACGTTACAACATTATATATATATATATATTTGTGTGTGTTAGACGAAAGCGATCTGCGCTAGCGTCCCTAATTTAGCAGTGAAATACTAGAGGGAAGGCAGCTAGTCATCACCACCCACCGCCAACTCTTGGACTACTCTTTTACCAACGAATAATGGGATTGACGTCAAATTATAACGCCCCCACGGTTGAAAGGGCATGTTTGGTTGGACGGGATTTAGAACCCGCGACCCCCAGATTGCGAGTCAAGCGCCCTAATCAACTGGTCATGCCAGCCCTATATATGTATATATAATTATGTACAAGTAAGTAGTCTGTAACCTTACCGGCTAAGAAAAGTCACCCAGTTTGGTCACTTACTGTGACTAATTTTTAAACAGAAGAAGCCTCACCATATAACTATTATTTTCAAATTTCATGTTAATAAATCAGTAGTAAACATCTTTACTTAATTAATGCTGAGAATACTGCAGAGTTTAATGACATACCCTAGTACTATTAAAATAGTATTATTTTAATAATGATGTCAATAAAAATTACTATTTTTAGAAAGTTAGTATTTAAAATATATCATCTAAATTAGTTCCACATTTCTATTTTCTGATATGTTAATATAATACAATCTACCCACATGAAACCTCCTTAGTACCGTATGCTTGCTTGCTAATATAAGTAAAAATAACTTGATTTTGGGAAAATAATCCAAAATATGTATGTGCGTATGTGAAGTATCTAGTAAAACAGTCATGTGACAAAACTTGGTCGTGAGAGGGCGTAAAAATGATTATGTCCGAAAGGGGAAATAAACAGTTATGAAAAGGAAATCCAGCTGAAGTGAAGAAAAGGGTAAGACATTCGCCTACGTATGTTATTTTTTAGTGTTATAAGTTTTATTACAATGGTATTGAAATTCTTAGTTATTAATGTAATTATAAGATATTATCATTTGCGAATGGTAACATAGTGCTTTAGACTTTTTCAGAACATTTAACAGCCTAATGATAGTGATAATGATATTATAAAAAAAAGACACCTGTAATTTGTAAAAAGTGTAAATGTAACACTGATAGTAATAGTGTAAAGTATAAATGTAATTACTTAATCAAAGTCGAACTTCTAAGTAGTATAACTATACGAATTTAACTAATTTTAAGCAGTACAAGTAATACCAAGAGGTTTAATAGTTTATTGTGTAATGAGCAAACTAAGTTATTATTAGTGTAAGAACTAGGAATAACATTAATACTAAATAATACTTTAATAGTGTAACGATGTAAATTGTAAGCACTTGTTTACGAGTAATTGGATAGTAACTAATTTAATTATGTTATATAATGTATAGTATTATATATATATATATTTAATAATATAATATATATATATATATATATATTA